AAATTTGCATTATACCCAAGCTCTTCCATAAATCAGAATACCTAAAACGTTCCTGGGAAACGTTCGGGTTCCGCATCCGAGCCAAGCGGAATCACCGCGCGTCCTCTCCGCGGAATGTGTTTCCGCTGGAGATTGCTCGCAAATCGAGGGGGGGGGGATCGAATCGAGCGTAAACCAGACGGGAAGGAAAAGAAACAGATCGCGGACGATTCCGCGCATTTCCACGGAAATTCAAGCAAGCAATTCACGACTGCTCGCACAGTCAACCCCCGGAAACTCGGTTGAGGATCGGGCTACGAACGATGGGAGAGGTGAGATGGGGCGGTATGTGCGGGAGGGCCCTGTGGAGGGGGAGGGGGAACGGATGGAAAGAGAGAGGACAGAGGGTAGCAGCCCCGAGGGCAACGACCTCTGACCCACCAGCCAGCCCTGGTATTGCTACCCCTTCTCCTGGACTGGCTGCTAAGTATAGCATTTCCACCAACCTGTCGCCCCCTTGCTACAGATATTATATCTACACCGTAGCCATCCACCCTCTCCTCTCCTCTTCTCTTCTCTCGGCCACCATCTCCTGCCCCTCTCGAAAGCACGGTAATTTTGTCCTGTTACCGCTTTATCGCTGCAGCTGCACACTAAGCGGCCGTTTAGCTGGCTGTTGCTGTTGTTTTCGTCGTTCGTCTTCCTCCCTCCTTACAACGCGTCTCCAGTTATTACAGCCGAGAGCGCTTTGTTCGCCGTTCAATTTAAGTAGGCCGGATTATAGTGACGCGACGCGGGAGAGATTTTGCCCGTTGTCGTGTTAACGCGAGGAAACGCGAGCTTGGCGAATTTTTCCTTGGAACACGTACGCGAATACGTCAATTGCGATTCTTCTCGCTAGATTTGATCGTTCTCAGTGAAATTTTCGATTTGAGCCAGTGACTGAACTCTTCCTGAACTGCCCGCCGATTCCGACTTGTCCTACACTAGTATGAATGAAAAGTTGTTGAGAAACCGATGGATTCAGATAAGTAGAATTCTGCAATGCATTGCAGAGGCATATTTCTGAACGATTTTCTGCAGTGTACGTACGCGCCTGACGTGCTTGCAGTAGATCAGATGTCTGACGCATTCGTAGTAGATTACGTGTGTCTGGCGCGCATGGAAAATTCTACTTTAGCAGTCGACATGGCTGCCGATGCCACATGAGTATTAGCTTTCTTCCCGCTTTACTTTTCAATTGTTGAAAGTTGTTCAATTTTTCAAGAACAAACTAAACGATAATTTCTTGATTCTTCGCGCAGCAGCTTTTAAAGCTACGG